GATTGATGGACAAGAAAGGTTTAGACATTGAGGAGGGGTGATGAGGAAATAAAGAGGGAAAAAAAGACACCCTTAACCAAATATATAGCAAAAGCTAGGAGGTAGAAAAGTACAAATCACGTATGAAATATGAAAAATGAGTGGTATAATTAGCCAGAGGAGAATATATGAAGGAGATGGGTTAGTAATAAGAATGAAGCCATATTATAGAAGATGTTAAACACAGAAAGATAAACTGCCACAATTTAGATTTAAAATTATAATGGTTAAAAAGAATAGCCCGAGTGCAAAAAATATCATGAAGGATTGTATAAGATTGGTATTCTTAAACCTCTGACATAATTATTCTATGTTCATGTTTTAGAAAGATGAAAGGAAGCCTATTAACTCTCACATTAAGTTTACATTCATGAATCTGGTCTTCAAAACCTTTTTGTAATCTGTCCCAAAAGATAATCTTTTATCACACTATTTGCCAGCTCTCTACTAGTTTCCTCTGAGGGTATCAAAAACACCAGGTTCAAATTTCGCATCTTGGCTATTCCTAGCTCTTAGCTTATTCTCATCTTCCATTTGTATGTACCAGATTATAACTCATCTCTTAAATCCCAGCTCCATCCGGAAGCTGTCTTTGATGGTCTAGACTTTATCATTTTCTTCCACATCTATATACTTCATTGCATATCTATTTTATCAAATAGTAACATGGAACAACTATCACTGACCTAGGAATAAAATGACAAGGGTCCTGGCAAAAAGTCTCCATTCTCTTTTTGGGTATGTTATTTAATGCCACAGATGTCCTCCTATCTAAAATAAAGTGTTTGTGAATTAGCTACCTCTAAAGTTACTTCTCATAATTTATTCAACATATAATGAACACCCATCTATGCTGTTTTATCCTAGGTTTTGAGGATACAGTGGTGAAAAAGACAGAGTATCTTTCTCTCTCTCTCTCTCTCTCTCTCTCTCTCTCTCTCTCTCTCTCATCTATCATCTATCTGTTATAATTTTCTCCCTTTTGTTCAGTGGTTCTTGAACTTTAGTCTGTAATATAATCACCTGGGGAGCTTGTTAAAACAAAATTCAGTATGTACATGTGCACACACACACCCCTTCCAAGAGCTTCTGATGCAATGAGTTTAGAGTAAGGCCCCAAATTTTGCATGTCTAAGATGGTTCCAGGTGATGCTCATTCCTGGTCCAGGAACAACACTTAGAGAACCTGTGCTCTAGTGAAATGTCTGTCTTTTTCACTATTGTGTTGCCAGTACCTAGAATAAATATTTATGGAATAAAAGAATAAATATAAAACATTTTGTTAATTGACAAAAAGAAATCCGGCTTTTTCCTTGAATGATGTTATAGTTTAGAAGGAAAATCACAATTCTACTAAAAGGTAGAACAGTTATTATCATCAGAAAGGTAGAGATAAGGAATGGTTTATATCCAAAAAAATAAATAAATAAATAGTTATTTCCTAGAAGAGGAAGAAGGAAGAAGATTAAGAACTTTGTGGAGAACTATATTTTGATCTATTCCTTGAAGAATCCATACACTTATTTAAAAAATGCCTGTCATGACTAAAAATATTTTTAGTACCTCTCTTTGGCATTTATCTAATTAATCTATGGTGAATCTTTTCTAATACCCTCAAAGCCTACAGGCTCTTTATATTCTGATGTAAGCCTTAATATTTGGGAATAGCTAATATATTTTTGCCCAGTCTGGTCAGAAAGGTGATTTATACCCCAATAAACTTAAAAAAAAAAAAAAAAGAAAGAAAGAAAGAAAAAAGAAAGTTAGGTGACTTAGTTGCATGATTCTGTTCTTGGCTGAAAAGAAGGTATATCTTTGAGTTAAGGCACCAGTTTTCTAGTATGACTTATAAATGGAGCCCTAAAACAATTTCTGGGTAGGAGTTTAGAAATTATTTTGAACAGTGGAAGCCTAAATGAATTAGGTTCAGTTTCTGAAGGTAATTAGTTAGAAGGACAACCTCCATTTAGCCTTATGCCCTAATGTGTTTGTTCAAAAATCACTCAGTACAGTTGATATTTTGATTTATTACAAGAATCGTTGCTTGAACGTGCAAAACGTCATGTCCATTTTTCTTCAGAGTGTATGTCATGCTACAAATATCTGAAGTTTAAACATTATGGGAACAAAGAAAGCAGTATAAAATGGAGGTTCTTCCAAGGTAGACCTATGATGGTACCGGGAAATATACACAGGTTCCTAAAAGATCTTGGTAATTCTGGACCACTCAGTTAATAATAAATACTAGTTTATGTGTCTTGAGAATTGAACGATGTTCTGGGTCACACTGGTACTCTATGAAGGGAGCCATATCAAACAATTCTTTTAGTTTGGAATAGGACTAAAGAGAACATGGAAGACCTATGATAAAAATCACACTGTTACAGTGGCTTCTTCCTCCTTGTTATTCCCCAGAGTTCCTCAGCTATTCTGTTCACCTATTCTTTGAGCCCAGGGTATCTTCAGTGTGGATCAGCATGTACTAGCTGTACTGGTTTAGAATTAAAGTATTAATAAAATTTTTATGAACACTCAGATCTCACAGTTTTCAACAGTGTACTAAACTTAGTTTGGTCTGATCCCAAAAACAAACAAACAAACAAAAAAAACGTGAATGCACACTTTAAGTCTCTTTGGTTAGATCAATGATTCTTAAAGTGAGGCCCTCAGAACAGCAGCATCAGAATCACCTGAGAACTTGTTAAAAATGCAAATTCTCTACTCCTACCTCAGAAATACTGAGTCAGAACTGGGGAGGAGAGAGGAAGAGACCCAGGAATCATACGTAGGCCCTGGATTCAGGTAGTTCTGATGCATGCTATGAGGATCACCTGAGAACTTGTTAAAAATGCAAATTCTCTACTCCTACCTCAGAAATACTGAGTCAGAACTGGGGAGGAGAGAGGAAGAGACCCAGCAATCATACGTAGGCCCTGGATTCAGGTGGTTCTGATGCATGCTATGAGGACCACTGGTTTAGATATTAACAGCAGCAGCAGTAAAGAAACTATCAGATGAGCTGGAAACTTTTTATGAACTACAATTTATCCTAATAGCCTATTACCATACTCGAGAGTACTGTGTTTAACACATACACAATTATACACATAATCGATGTCTAAGATGTCCTTGACAGAATGAATGTAAAAAAGTCATGACTTCTCTCTGTAAAAAGATGGTATGGAAAGGAGACAAATGGACTTGTTTTCAGTGTTCTGAAATGATATCTTTTTCAACACCCTTACACTCCTTGCCCAGCCTTCAATAAAAGAATTGGGGCAGGCGGGGAGGCATTAGTAGCAGGCACTATTCTGTTTCTTTTGATGGAGCAAAAAAATTTATTAGGTGATATAAATGCACTTTATCACTCACAGATATCAGTTATCAGGTGTCTTGAGTGAATAGCTATGTCCAAGCCTATTTTAAAGAACAATTAAAACATCTGAAGAAAAATGGAGGCTTTATCTTATGTGTAGCTAAACCCTCATACTCATTGCAGACCTATTCTTTGGCCTATGATACCTAAGATATATAACACAAATTTGGTAAAACAGTTTCATAATACCCTCAAGCATATGCAGTTATTCTAGTCTACGTAATGACTCTCTGTTTAGGAGTTAAAACTCAGGCTCTGGAGTAGTACAGTCCATGGACACGATGCAACCCATATACGTAACTTTAAAATAACCACATTTTAAAAAGTAAAATAAAATGAGTGTTATTAACGTTGTTATATTGTTTAATCCTACCCAAGCTGTTTTAAACATACCAAAAAGTTTTCCAGTAGCCTGAATATCAGTTTTTTAATTTACATTAATAAAAAATAAGTAAAGTTAAAGTTTCCATTTCTCAGTCACACTACATTTCAAGTACTCGAGAGTTACAGGTGGCTAGTAGCTACCATGTGAAGCAACATAGCTCTAGAGCTACGATAGACCATACCTGAGTAAGAATTCTGGCTTTGCTATTTCCTGGCTGCTTAGCAAATTACTAAGCCCTCTCCAAGTTTTTCTATCGTTTGTCTGTTAGATGGAGGGAAAAAACCACACTCCACTATGAATACTCAACTTCTGCCGTCAAAACTAGCAGCAGAATAGAAACTAGTTTGTTTTTCGCTTCATATTAAAGATGGTGAAATTATTGCATCCAATCTAAATGCTTACAACATAATGGTTACATAAATTTAATTCATACTCTACAGCCATAAAATGCTATCATTAATCATTAATGTTAACATCGATTAAAGACCAAAAATAGTATTGTGAATAGCTAGACTGCTGCCTGCGTCCACAAGAACTTAGAAGGACCAGACCGACCAGACCGGCCACCTATCAAAAGCAGTTATCGGAAGCAGCAAGATGGGGGTGGGGATGGAGCTGGTACACGCGTTAGGCTTGTTTCTGAGCAGTTATTTTTCAAAAATGTTTTTTTTCTAAAACAGAGCTACTACTTTTGTATTTTAAGGAACAAGTCCGAAGTCTGCTTTGAAACGACTACACTTTTCACTTAGAGTCTGGAATGTGATTTTTAAATATAGCTTACATATACTATAATAATGAGAAACTGTTGTGTGAAAGTACTTGTATCAGAACGAAGAACAAGCTGCCTCGATCGGTTTTCGGTTGGCGGTTTCCCGCCGGGCAAACGGAAGCAAAACCGCCCTGACGTCAACAAAGGCGCCCTCTCTTTGTTACCATAGTGAAGTCTATGCGGCCATCTTTACTGTGGTTAACGCGCACCAAGCTTTTCCTGGTGGGGGTGGTGCCGCGCTAAAAGAGTCTGCGGAATAAGAGATGAGAAAGGAATTACGCATCTTGGTAATTAGGTACTGGCAGAACTACTTAGGACCAGGGGCAGAGAGCATTAGCTAAGTTAGTGGAAGTAGAAGTGCAGATTCCGCGGATAAGCGGAACGATTTAAGCGGATCTCTGAGGTTTCTGCCCGGAATTTGAGAGCCGCTTCCGTTGCTCAGCGGAAGTGTGGGTCGCAGGAGGACGACTCTTGGAAGAATCCGCTCGCCGGTGTGCGCCCAGCCGGAATCATGTCGAGTTTGGCGGTGAGAGACCCGGCAATGGATCGATCACTGCGTTCCGTGTTCGTGGGGAACATTCCGTATGAGGCAACTGAGGAGCAGTTGAAGGACATTTTTTCGGAGGTTGGTTCTGTTGTCAGTTTCCGGCTGGTATACGATAGAGAGACGGGAAAACCCAAGGGTTATGGCTTCTGCGAGTATCAAGACCAGGAGACCGCGCTTAGTGCCATGCGGAACCTGAACGGGCGGGAGTTCAGCGGCAGAGCGCTGCGGGTGGACAATGCTGCCAGTGAAAAGAACAAAGAGGAGTTAAAGAGCTTAGGGCCTGCAGCGCCCATCATTGACTCACCGTATGGGGACCCCATCGATCCAGAAGATGCCCCTGAGTCAATTACCAGAGCAGTCGCTAGTCTGCCCCCGGAGCAGATGTTTGAGCTGATGAAGCAGATGAAGCTCTGTGTCCAAAACAGTCACCAGGAAGCTCGAAACATGTTACTCCAAAATCCTCAACTGGCTTATGCGCTGTTGCAGGCACAAGTAGTGATGAGAATCATGGATCCAGAGATTGCTCTGAAAATTTTGCATCGCAAGATACATGTCACACCACTGATCCCAGGCAAATCTCAGCCTGTCTCTGGCCCCGTCTCCGGCCCTGGTCTCTGCCAAGGACCTAATGTTTTGCTGAACCAGCAGAATCCTCCAGCTCCTCAGCCTCAGCATTTGGCTAGAAGGCCTGTGAAAGACATTCCTCCTCTGATGCAGACCCCTATCCAGGGTGGAATTCCAGCCCCGGGGCCAATACCAGCTGCGGTTCCTGGACCTGGTCCTGGTCCCTTGACTCCTGGTGGAGCAATGCAGCCCCAAGTTGGAATGCCAGGGGTTGGTCCAGTGCCTTTAGAGCGGGGGCAAGTGCAGATGTCGGATCCTAGAGCTCCTATGCCTCGTGGACCCATGACTGCTGGAGGCCTACCTCCTCGAGGACTGTTAGGAGATGCTCCAAATGACCCACGTGGAGGGACTTTGCTTTCAGTCACCGGAGAAGTCGAGCCCAGAGGCTATCTTGGGCCACCTCATCAGGGTCCCCCAATGCATCATGCCCCCGGTCATGACAGCCGTGGCCCTTCCTCACATGAGATGAGGGGAGGGCCATTAGCTGATCCGAGACTGCTAATTGGAGAGCCCAGAGGACCCATGATGGATCAAAGAGGTCTACCTATGGATGCTAGAGGTAGTAGAGATTCTCGAGGAATGGAGACCCGAGCCATGGAAACTGAGGTCTTAGAGACACGAGTGATGGAGAGAAGAGGAATAGAGACCTGTGCAATGGAAACCAGAGGGATGGAAGCAAGAGGCATGGATGCAAGAGGCATGGAAATACGGGGCCCTGGCCCCAGTTCGAGAGGCCCTATGACCAGTGGAATCCAGGGTCCTGGTCCCATTAATATGGGGGCAGGTGGTCCTCAGGGACCCAGGCAGGTCCCAAGCATTTCAGGTGTGGGAAATCCTGGAGCTGGCATACAGGGAGCAGGCATGCAGGGGGCGGGCATGCAGGGGGCAGGCATACAAGGAGTGGGCATGCAGGGAGCAGGCATACAAGGAACAGGTATACAGGGAGCTGGCAAGCAAGGTGGAGGCCAGCCTAGCAGTTTTAGTCCTGGGCAGAGCCAAGTAACTCCACAGGATCAAGAAAAGGCAGCTTTGATCATGCAGGTTCTTCAACTGACTGCAGATCAAATTGCCATGTTGCCTCCTGAGCAAAGGCAGAGTATTCTGATTTTGAAGGAACAAATCCAAAAATCTACTGGAGCTTCTTGAAATGTTCTAGAAAATAGTTGGCAGTAATCTCAGAAAGTTTTTTTATTGTTGTTTGTGTGTTTCGTAGCATGGAGAATGGGTGCAAAAAAAGCTGAGTTCTGCACCCCCACACTTGAATGATTAGGGATTTCCTCCTGCCAGAACCTAGTTTCATTTCTTCTTCTTGTCTTTTTTTTTTTTTTTCTGTTTTCCTTTTTTATGTTTGTTTGGGGTGGCGTGGGGGGTCGGGGGGTGGTCTAGAGGGAGGAGGGAGTGGGTCTGTTCACTTTAATTCACTGTAAATACACACAAAATAACTCTGAAAATGATTGTATTATACCGTATAAGATTACAAAGAATATGCAGCAATATTAAAAGTGTCTACAATATGTTAACTACATTTTTTAAAAATATTGAGTAAAATGATGTGAAATCTGCACATAAAGACTAAAAGATGACCTGTTAAATGGTAATGTACCAAGATAGTTTAAGAGTTTTGGTTGTATAAGAAAATAAAGAAGTTTACCTCAAAATTATAAGATCTATATTTTTGGTAAGTCATTTAAAATACAAAATCCTGTTTTGAGGGCAGTAGAATGCTGCATTGTAAGTGCTTTGGAATTATTTAGAAATGTTAGAGCTAGCAGGATAAGTGTACACTTGTGGTATTGAAATTGTTTTTTCTAAGGCTATACTACCTGAAAAATCAAGGAATGCATCTGGTGTGATGTTTCATTTATCTCACCCTTCAGAGACCAGCAATATTCTGGCCTGGCCCTGAACATGATTTTGCTGGGACAGTTCTAGGATCAACCAGGTACTTAAGTCTGCTTTGATGAGACTCAGTATTACTATCTTCTCAGTACCTTCCTATTTCTTAGTAGTCTTTAAGCCCCAAATCTGAATCTGAGTTATTCCCTTACATCCTTCCCTAAGGTCAGTGTCTAGGGACCAGTTTATCTGGATGAAGTATACACAGCATTGGGCTTTTTCATAAACAGCAAAGAGTTTCATGCAGTGGAGCTCCGCTTCTTGGCAACTAGTGTCTATATACAAATAGTAGCCATCTGGTCAACCAGAATCAGGAGTTAAAAATTTTAGTCTCAGCAACATTTAACATGTCTTTTAGCTTTCTTATTTCAAAATCTATTTGTCTATCACCATTTTATTAGATTAATTGAGGCCCAGGTAGGTAGAGAGATCTTTGTAGCCTAAGCTCTGCACAGTTAGTTTACTCATTACTTTTTATAAATAATAAAGCCATTTAGTCCGAATATACATACCACTGAGACATAGTCAAAAATGAGTAGAAAGATGGGGCTTATCACATTTCCTTTAGAGCTACTACCTAATCTGTTTTTAAGCCATGAGAATGTGGAATGTGAAAATTTATGTCAGACTGTTAGTAATTAACAACATAAACACCTAAATAACCAGGTGATCTTATTCTGGAGAAGGAAAACTAATAGCTAGTTACAGAGAAAAAATGTCATTTGATACAAGGAGAGAGCTGAGACTAGGAAATTGAATTATTTTTCCCCTTGCAAAGTTTTTACATTTTAAATGGGTAATTCACTCTATTTTTACAAAGTTGTCATCTCTACACTGTTTCTGGCTACCTATTTTATTCTTGTTTTTATTGCTATTCATACTGTTAATTTTCTCATGTTTTTATATGCTTCCCCTGTGTTAGAGGGGATAACTCTGTTATAACTTCTTTACATATATGATAGTTTTGGATTATACTTATTCACAGAGTTGGTTTCATTACTTTGAAATTATAGTTGCTTTATCCCAAAGCTTTCATTGAATGACACTAAATGAAAACTATTAAATGTTATGCTCTTTGTTGTAGTAAATCTTTGCATTGTTTAATGCAGACTTAATAAAAAGAATGTACAATTAAGTCTCAATTTAGTTTCTGATATATTTACTTTTAATGAATGCATTATTCATGTGATCTACTCTTGAGAGATCAATAGGGCCTGAATACTTTTTTTTTTTTTTTTTAAATAAAAAGACAAAAATAATTTCTTATACTCATTATTTATATAGTTCCACAATTGAAATAATTATAAAGGTGTGTTATTCTATGGTTGGTATCACTAGCAACATCTTGGTGGATACTCAAATATTAGGCTTCCTTTTGTTTATTTTCCCCTGTAAAGAACTCTCCTCTGTATTCCAGGGTCAGCTTCTAGGTGTTTTCATTACTGACAGCACTTCTTTATAGCAATACTCTGTGTTTACTTTACCCTGTGTACCCGATTCCCACTTCTAATAGACCAAGAACTCATCACAGACTGTCTTATTTCTGTATTTGTTCCAACAAAAATCACAGGTGAAAAGGAAGGGACAACACATTCTATCAGGTTCTTGGTGGGGGAGGAGAAAAGTCCCATTAAGAGCACATAAGTTTCCCCCAAAAGCATTTAGAGTCCATACGTTCCAAATCTTTACTCTGATAAGCCTAATAAAATTAAGTTCTTTCTTCCAATTCACAATCTGACTGTCCCAATGTTGATGTAAAGAGTATAGAGCCTTATTTCATTTTGATAGTTAAGAATGCAAGCAATATGTGTCTGCTACAATCAGAATCTTATGTGTTTTACTACATAATGTTTGGTTACAACCTCTGACATTCTGCATTTTCCCAAATGATAGACTGCAAATCACAAATTCATTCATAATAACCATAGTTGAAGACAGTGCAGTGAAACACTGATTTGTAAATACTTCTTGAGTGCTTATTCTTCTTGGGCAATACATGTTCTTTGAGAACACGAAATGTTCAACTTTAATTTGTGCTTACCCATTAGTACTTCCTCTTATGTTTCTGATTTAAAACCAAAATGTGTTTTAATGTCTGCTGCTGCCCTATTCCAGGACTTCTGATTTTGGAGTATTCCATAAAATAGCCAATGTGAATTTCAGGTGAATGTAGGTTAATCCAAGGGAGATCATGTATGACTTTTCAACAACACTTTTCAGAAATGTGATGGTAGAAAAGCCGGGGGTGGGCGGGGGTCGGGGGGAACCTTAATCACAGCTTGCAAAGCTTTTGTTTTTTCACGCTGTGATGGGACATTAAGCACAGGGAACCTAATTTCCTATGGCTTGTCAGGCCTTTTTCTTAGGTCTGATGAGGTCTAAGGATAATTATGTGTAACAGCCTGCTGTGGCAGAGAAACTGAATTATCAGTTACATCTCACAGTCTTCTCACAAAAGAATATGTCAGCCTCTTATTGCTTTATATTGTCAGCTAATCTCTAGACAGACTTCTGTTTGAGCTTGCTTTTCTCACCAGTCTCTTATCAAGATTGCTCTATGATCAAAAATTCATTTTAAGGAAATTATCATATTTAAAATAAAGTTTTAATATTAGATATTAATAGTATATATGATATTGGTATATTACACAATATGCTGATATAGTTCGTAATATGTCTATTTTAGATCTTAATCAGATTTCTAAGCATTTTAATTTGCATCCTGAAACAAAAGTTTATTCCTTTGGTTGAAAATTTAGCTTCACAAATATTTATATTACTAATTACCTTTCTCATGCGATGTTAACTATCAATTTTCTTCTTGATATTTTTTCTAACAAGGAATATAATTTATGTCAGTGAAGGACATATATTGTATCAAAAGTGACACTGAAGTAGCAAGTCAAAAATAACAAACCTAGTACTTAAATACAGAAGTATTTACCTAGAGAAAGAAATGATATTCTAATTAATGACAGCTCTTTAAAACCAGCAGTTGATTTATGTCCCAAAGGAAGGTAAGTATTATCAAGGAGTTAGAATACACTACATTCTCAACCATAATCAATTTTATATGATTCAGTATGTATAAAATCTTCAGACATTTGAAATTAATATCATATATTCACAAAGGGGTTATTTAAAAAGATTGGTCATTAAAAAAAATCATATCTGCTTGATTACTTAATTTTTGTCACAAAAGTATAATGCATGATGTCACAAAAGTATAATTCATGATGTGTTGGGCATCAAGAAATAAAACCAGCAATTCTCCCAAAATTATTTTCTTTAATTAGTTGTTTTAGAATTCTGTCTTACTAATTTCTTTAATAATTTACTGCAAAAATCTGTAGGCCGTTTCAATGTACCTGTTGCCCTTCGATTCCACTACTACACTGAGCTGCCTGAATATGAAGCAACCTGTACCTATTTAAGAATATGCATTTATCCCTGGATGTTACACAGAAAAAGATACATCTGCTATGACTCACAGTGCCCGATTTCCTTAAAGGTTCACTTGAATAACATTCACAGCATGAGACACATTAAAATTATATATTTGAGTTTATGAAAGGCTATATAGGGCTTGGTGCATTAGCATTCATAAAATCATATTCTATATCCCAAATATCACCCTTGTTCACATATTAAATAACACGGCAACATAAATGAGGACTAAAAATGTAAACATGACCACAGCCTATTACTAGAATATATTTCCTATCTTTAGGTAAGCCTAAATCCAAAATGATTATATTTTTTTACACTTACTAAGCAGAGAAAAAGACCCTCATTTATTTTAAACCGAGAAATGACATTGTTGAGAAATCTCTAGAATCACATAATCTCCTCACCCCGCCCTCAGGTCAATTTTGTCAAGTTTTGTCCTGTAGAAGCTTTAAATATCTTTGGACCACAGACCCAGAATCTGTGGGCCAAATAAGCTTGTAGATATTTGTTTGAGGAGCCCCAGGTTTTCAAAAATTTTGAATCTGATTGCATTTAGGCGCAGCATATATTCTCCAATATGGCCACATGCTCAGCCTCTCCCTATGTTTTATATTAGGTTTAATTCACACAATTACTTGCCAGAACTTGTAATAATTTGAGTTTACAACTGCTTTTACTCCATATGAAAACGCTATTAGGTTCAATTAAAATTTTTATCATCTAATTTGACAAATGTGAACGAAAAATGGC